TTGATAATTTCATTGCTTACTTGCAGTAGAACCACCACAATGGTGGTTTATGCATAAATATCAATCAGCATCCAGACAGTTAAAATCAAAGTGGAACAACCATTCAAATATTGCCTTCAGTTAGTAAAACGTGGACGAAATTCAAACCACGGAAGACATCATCCATAAAGCGTTTGAATGTTTGTGCTGCATTCGGAAGACCAAATGGCATACGCAGGAATTCAAACAGACCAAAAGGAGTAATGATGGCTGTTTTCGCGATATCTTTGCCGCCATAGGTATCTGGTTGTGCTCTTCGACCAAGCCGACCTTGGAGAGAATGTTCATTCCACATAACATCACAGTCAGGTGGTAAACGTGGGGTATCGGGTAGCAGTTGGATGTGTCTTGGCGTTGAGCCTTCGATAATCGCCTGCTGGACGCCAGTCGTTGCTATCCTTCTTGGGAAGCATGTGCAGTGGCGATGCCCAAGGACTGGTTGACGGTTTGAGAATGCCTGGTTCGAGCATTTGGTCGAATTCACTCTTCTTTCGTTTTGAGCCTATCGGGGGCTAGATGGCGCGCTTTGGGTGCCATAGGTGGACCTGTGGTTGCAACGTGATGAATAACATTGCTGGTTATGCACGGAAGAGTATGCTTTGGTTGTTGTGGCTCGATATTTCTCCAAAACTGCCTGGTAAGACGCGTCGCCCGACTGTTTGTTTCTAACGACGGCTAAAGTCGGACCCTCGTAGGTGGCGGCACCAATAAATAACTTTGTATTGTTATCTATCGGACGTCGACGACGAGCATCTACGAGCAAATCGCGATGGCCTAGCAAGTCTATGCCAATGATAAGCATTGAAACGCCAGCCAGGAAGAAAATTCAGTGAATAGGTTTACGTAAACCTAAGTTGAGCTATTCGCACCGTCCCCCAAACGTCGCGATTGCCTTGCTAGTGGCTGCTTGGAAGTTGAAGGATGGGTCATGATGACGCTTCTTTATCGGTGCGGAAAGAAAGCTAACTTCTGCACCGGTGTCGACGAGGTAGCCAACCTTCATTTTTATATCCGTGACGTAGAGCAAACGGCTGTTTCCACCGACTACGGTCGCCATCAACTCGTGCCGACTTGGCCGTTTCCCGAGTTTGTGTCCTTGTTAAAACTGCATGGTTTCCGACATTTTCTGGCCTCATCTCCGTAAGTATTATGAAACCAGCACCATTTCTGGTTTTCCACCCTGTTAGGCTTAGTTTTGGGGCAACCATGAGAGTTGCTGCGATGCGTTGAGATGCGTTTCTGTGAAGTGTCACGTAAACTAGGACTCCGAGTTCGTAGCAACTGTTTAACAGAGTTGCACAGCTTGGCCACCTCTGGATCCTGGCTCTTTGGTTTGTCGCAGACAGAATATACGTTGGAGATGGGTCTGCTAGAAATCTCCAGCATTTTATCTGCCGAGGCTGCCAGGTCATCGAGTGGGACTGACTGAAGTGTCGCCAACACGACTTGGTAGTTTCGAGAGAAACAGTTCTCGGAAAAGGCCATCGTCGAATGTTTGCGCACCCATAATTTTCGCATGCGTGTGAGGACCTCAGTAGCTGAGTGCCTGTCTAGTTCGATGTTGCGAAGCAATTCATCTAGGTCCAGGCGATCTGTGGGGTCGCTTCTCTTCCAGAGTGCGGCTTTGAGAAGTGCATAAGGATTACCTACTTCAGGACTAAACATATGTGCTGTAACATGCCTGTTTAATTCCCACGGTAGTGAATGCGTGACAGCGAGAAATCGAGAATGAGGATCTGAGACTCCCTGTCCTCAAAAATCTGCCTCGGCATACAGAAACCACGTTTCTGCATTGTCTGGCTGATATGGCACGAGTTGGATACTGTTCATAGTCGGCCCAATACGAATAAGCTTGGATGTGTGGTCGGACATGAGAAAGTGTGGTAAATGGATATATAAATGTTATCGAAATGGAAACAATATACAAATATAAAATGGAACAGGCTCACCAATTCAATGTTTGTGGTTGGTCGGGATATGTGATCACGTCGGGCTCACCAATTTAGGAATTGCTCTGATGCGAACTTGACAGATGCAAAGACCAATCACTAATTATTCGGACTTGCTACATACCCACGAATACGAGACCAAGGAAGAACACGAAAGCGTAGTCGGATGGAATGGTATATCTGGGTGGTTGTGGCAAGAGACCGATGCGTTCCGACTAACTGGCTAGAGAATCGATTACGAACAGTGCAACGTAACACGACAGCGTGCCAAATGGCGAGGATGCTTGACCGTGTGCCTTCAGCTTCGCGAGTCCAGTTAAACTATCAAGGTCGGCATCAATGTTGAATGTCGTCGAATCGTAGGCTACTGATTTTGGGGAAGTGTATGGCGCTACAGGGGCAGAATAATGGATTTGCGGTGAACCCAGGTAAATGTCAGACGGGACTCCCTCTGATTCTTGTGCCACACATAGTCGTTTACTCTCTTTGCAGGAATCAGAATTCCATACATTATTTACGATAAGAATATCTAAATGATGTTAGACGACATTTCTTATCATATTGGCCTCATCCCGGTTAGGCTGAGTGCAGAGTAATTTTATCTTGCAGTCTGAACTCAGTAAGCACTGGGAAACCTAGACTTATCAGATTAACATCCTCCAACTCAGGACTAGAGGACTGGCGACGCTAGACCCAACCACGTAAGCGCTTATCTCGCGAAAATACACAACCAGCTCTCCCCCCTCACCAGGCACACTCTAATATGTATGTACAGCAACGTTGTGGGGATAAGAGGGAAGGCAGCAGAAATGAGAACGCTGTGTGAACATCAGCACTCCGTCTTCATATTCATCACCGAATCCTGGCTCTCGCCGGACATCTCAGACGAAGAGATGCATGTTACTGGCATGGAACTCTTCCGCAGGGACGGAGGGCACAGAGCAGGAGGAGGAGGAGTGGCTCTCTACGTAAACCCCCGTTTAAAGGCAAGGGTGGTTAGCGACACGGCCTTGACCCAGCTCCCAGAATCTCCATGGTGCTACTTCACTCCCCACTGCACCAAATACCTGCTCGGAGTCATATATCGGTCCCCCACCAGCCCCTCTACACATGACAGAAATGGTCATCAAGGCAATCTTGACGACTTCCTCTGAGACTTATTACTCTGTAGTCATTGCCGGCGACTTCAACACCCCGTCCATCCTCTTAGAGACGGGAGGGAGACGCATCAGATCCTTCAATCAGAAGCTGAAGGATGTAATTAAGACTGCTGGCCTCCCAGAGAATTTGCATTTGGTTGATGAGAACCGCATCCCAAACATTCTCAAACTGACACTCAAAGTGTTCAGAAGACTCTGCATCTTGTCAGGGTCCTCACCTAACAGGACTGTGTCATCTGCATATTCATGGTCTAACGAAAATTCTCCTTTGATCAGGTCAACGTCTGTGTAACCTGGTGACAAGGGGGAGACCTCCATAAGAATTTCTATGATGAAATTTAATGAGAATGGAGACAGTGGGCAGCCTTGATGGACACCACTCGATGAGCATAGCTACCTGGACAATTCACCATAGGCTGTAACATGCCCACAAGTGTTCGAGTAGAGAGCTTTCAATGAGGTGATGTACTTACTCGGTGCTGGAAGCTCGACGATGGAAGCTCCACTATTAAACAATCCAGCTGAGAGAACACAATACATCCCAAGATTCTGGCCATGTGTCTGTCGACTAAGTTTAATCTTTGGCTAGAACCTTTCCCGAAACATTCTCTTATTCTACGAGTGTACAGCTAAGAGAATCGATTTGTTGAAAAGATAATTGTCTTCTCTGTCACCTCATTTTTGTCTTTCAAATTCTGATTTATACACTTTCTAACAGGGATCATCTGTATAGCACAATACAAACAGTTTGACTGCAGTTCTATGACTGTTTGCCGTTGTAATAACGTAACCTGAACTCAATATATGGTCCAATGCAGCTTGCTTGAGGAACAAAAATTACTCTCCAATTAGTTATTTCTGTGTCAGATGATTGAGTCCTAATTTCAACTTTGTATTCATCATAGACTGATATCATTTGGAGGAATATTGGTAACTTGGGAGCAATGAACAGCCGTTTCATCCTAGCATTGGACTTCTCAGCAGTGCGCACCCATTGCCAAATGGTACCGTGCTGGCCATGAAACCTGAAAGTCACGGGTTCGGTCCCTGATGGGGTGGGGGTTATGGGTGTGCAGTGCTGAATAATCACATACTGGGACGAAAAAACTCTGCAGTGCTCCCCCAACTAATGTCAGTCTGTGATGAATTCCAACATGAAGTCAGTTAATAAACCTTCAAAGGTGGAAGACATGAGAAGGCTTCATGTGTCTGACCACCGTTGGCTTCGTAGTATAGGCCGTATTCCGCGGTGTCGCCACGTGAGTAATGCAGAAGTCAGGTACAGAGTTTTAGGGAGAAGAGGTAAATCAGTTGACGAGGTTATGAACCTTCATCGACTGAGATGGTTAGGACACGTACTACGTATGCCCAGTCATCGATTGCCTGAGGTGGGTCCAGGCTGGAAAAAGGCCCGAGGTGGCCAGACTAAAGCATGATACCAATGCACGAGGTATTTGACTGTTGGTTTAAGCCATGTAGGGCGACGCAGACTAGGTGGTTAGGGTCAGTGGGACAAGAGAAAACCAGTGGTTGGTGAGTCTAGGTGATCACATGGCTGAGAACCGATGTCAGTGGTGCAGATGTATACACAGACACACATTATCTTCATCTTAACGACGCTACATCGAATCTCACCATTTTCCCATTCTTCCTTTCTTTCTTATCGTACTTCATATTTCTTTTGACTGAATTTTCTTATCTTCATCTTTCGCCTCGCTACCGTTCTACTTGATGTGGTGATATGAGCTATGGCAACTGGGACCGTTATGCGGTAATGCTTGTTCCTATGTTGATATTCATGATGATGATGATAAACCTTCAGACAGATTTAGTGTTAACTATAGCATACAACATGAATTATTTTGTATTTGAGTTTTTCAAGCATATAGAGATTGTATCACTGATTGACACAAGGTAAAGTATCAGTGAAAGGTTTAGTGTGTTCGGCATAAGGTTGTGTATTGTTCGATTTGAATTTGTTTGGTGGTTACGTAACCGTCTTAGGTTCGAATACCATTTGAGGTAGTGTCATTTACCCTAATACAATAGTTGTGATTTCTCTGCCTAGTAAACGAATATGTACAAGGTTTATGAGCGTATTTCGACTTTTTTCGATTTGAAATCACTCTCGGATTTGATGGCTCTTAAACTAGATCCTAGATTGTCTAGTGGATGTACTCAAAAAACTAGGCAGAAACAGGTGAATAGTAACATCCAATTTCTAAAGTTTCTGTAGTTCACTTCAATTCACAATGGTAAGTCTTTCAAAGTTTTAAGTTTACGACAAAAGTGCTGTTGTTTCCAAGAGAAAATTTTCTCAACGAATAAACTATGTCTCACTCTTCCTCTTATGTATAACATGTATCATTCATTGATTGTTTGCAGTATTTTTCAATATATTCACAATATTTCTAAAAATTGTCCTTCATTTCAGTAGTTTTTCAACAAATAGTCATGATTTTACCAAAGAAGATATTTATAAAAATGATCCATTACTTCAACAAATGATTGATAATCTAAACAAACATAAAGAGGAACGACAGAGGTATGTAAATAATGATCAGTCATTGGTATTCAGAAAATACGTAAATAAAGGTACTAGAAGCAGAGAAAATGCGGTAAGTAGAAAACCGGTTGTAAACGCTTTTTATTAGTATTCAGAAGGGTCTTTATTTTCAAATTGTGGAAAATATTTATAACACAGATGGATAATCTTGATTGTGTTGTGCTTTCTGAGCTGTATGATTAAATCGTAAAGCTTTCATTGTCTTTCTAGACAACATCATCTCAGTAGCAGTAGTGAGCTGTCAGCATCTCTCTGTGAGTGAAACCTCAAGGAATTGATGTGACTCACCAACTAAGCGATGGCCTTCAACAGCCAAGGAAGACAAAGCAAGTATCATTTATAAAATCAACTGCCATATTTGTGATCAACGCCACGATATTTTATGACTCATTTCCAGATACATAGATAACTATGGACATGGAATCCATTCTGATAATGTTAAAATTTTGAAAAGAGGAAACACTATCCAAGAATTCCTAGAAGTTTCACATTCAGATCGTTCAGTCAGCAATCAATAGGTATATAGACATTGACCCAATCTATTAATCAGTAAGAAAAATGATAGACAACAGAAAGGTTAGAGGTAAATGAGATGAATAGACAACAAGAAAATTTATGCAGTCAACAACCGAACAACCAAAGGAAGCAGAGAAAGCTACGAAATCACTCACAGAGAGGTATTGACAGCTAACTTCATATTGAAGTTATGGCTGATAATGCCGTCTAGAAAGATAACATAAGCTTCACAAACAAACAACAGCGAACACAACACAACCAAGGTTTTTGTTTACCTCGTTTTATTACTTTATTTATCCCACAGACAGTAAATGAACAAACATATTTAAGAAAGAACATTGGATATTTTATCTTATCTCATTAAACTCTTTAAGGTGTTTGTGAAAACCTTAAAAGGAATGCTTTATGGAGTTAATTTCTTTTCATACTAAGTGATGATTGGAGGTGAAGTGGAAATTAGGACTTTAGCCGGATTCGAACCGGTGACCACTAGGTATTCGGCCCAATGGTCTACCAACTCACCTACAATGTCTGAAGTAGAATTAAAATGTGGTTAGCAGTTGAACCTAGCAGGTCACTTGGTAGAGCATCGGGCCAGAAACCAGGTGGTTGCTGTTTCGAATCTGACCGCAATCTAAGTTTTTATCTCACCTTAAATCATCACCCAGTATCAATACTAATCTACCAAACCACAGCTATCTCATATAGTCAAAATGATAACGAACATTGCCGAATCTTAGAAGTTGTTTACACATTCATTTGCGTTATAAGTATTAAGCTTTAGTCTATAGGAATGTAAGCAAACATTAATAGGATAAGATTCCACCAGTGTTATGCGAGCGATTTGCTTGTAGTTGTTGAAGGAAGATAAAAGGTGCACTATTTATGTTGGTTTGTGAGTATACAACAATGTACTGCCATATTATTCACTAAGAGGTAAAAGGTCATAAATAGCTGCTGTAACAAAGGTAAAGACCATTTTGATTGTCTGAAATAGCTGTGTTCTGGCAGACTACTACTGATTATCAGTGGTGACTGAGGGTGAAATAAGAATTTGGACTGCAGTCGGATTCACATCAGAGATCATTCGGGTTTCCGATTCAGTCTTCTACCTCTCTTCTCTTTTCAGTATCAGTCTGATGAGAAAGTCCTAAGTATTAATTTGATCAAAAAAATCAACTTTATGAAAATCCTACTTTGTACATAATATTGGAAACTGATTTTAAAAGTATTCAACTAGCTTGCCCCCCGATTTCCTGTTTGTTGAACAGCTTCACAACTAACTCACCTCCCTACGAGTACCCTAAATATTACCCCATACGAAACCGTAAGCACAATAACTGATCTCCAATTTCTGATCTGTCATAAATGCAGCAGAAATCTGGATAAACAATCTAATCCAAGAGATCACTTTACCTAACGGCAATACATCCATAATAATGCTATGCAACAGATTTCTCTAGTACTTTGTCTTGTATGAATTCATCTAACAGAAGTCGATTAACACCCCCATGAATCACCTTGTCAATACTGCATACTTTAATGTGAAATCTATGAAGTTTCACATACGTGTAATATTCACCAGTGTTGAACGACGATTCTTTCAGTCTTTAATTACTTGCACCATGACAAATATTCTCAGTATTACCAATCTGAATTACTGGAAAAGGTAATACTTCAAGAGTGAGAAACGCCTGAACTTAGACATTCACCTGGATTAAATGATTGTATGGATGCTTACTTATTCCTGAAATTATTGAAGTAAGTTATTATTGGTCAATAAAGCTACAAACAAACGAATTACTGTTGAAATAAACGTTTATCTGACGAAAGACAGGGTTTCATAGACGGGTAAATCATGTCGACTACTTATAAAGGGAACATAGAATATTGCGCCGTTTGATGTGAAATAAGAATCATGAGTAGGAATGATTTAAAATCAGAAGGATGTGTATGTACTGTAAAGTGATATTTTCATCACTTTTAGATAATTGATATCATGATAGAGTTTAATGTCCTTCCTTCTGTACCATTCAACACTGCTCAAACCTTTTAGAGCCTGTAAACCGGCTTCTCTCAAGTTAAATTCATAACTTGTGAATAAAGATATTTATTTATTTATACTATTAGAAGTATCAATAAGTATCCAGTGTTATATAACCAAGGTGAGCGTCTAAATCCATACGTTTCTAGCTCACCATGTTATGTTTGAAGGTAATATACATTAAATCCACTGGGATTACCTGTGGTAGTAAATGGAAATATGTGTTGAAACAGTTAGTCGTCCAAAAGCAGCAGTTATACATAAGTTTCAGGCATCTTTCATATTAACGTAAGTAGCGACATTTGGGAAGTGGATTTCATGCATGGTAACTTTTACTTGAAAAGACCACTTGATACAGAGTACTAGAGAACGTGTAGTTTGGAACAGCTGCAGGTAAGCCGTGTTCAAAGCCAATGGGTAAATTTTTCTCCGGTTTAGTCGTTCGTTCAGAATATTTGTCCCACTAAGAATGTTAGAACAGTTTAGGCGGTTTTTCACTTTAAGAATCCTGACCAGATGTTCCCAGAAACCGCTAAAGATTAGGACCAATCCAATAATTCTTGGAGTCAAAAAGGCAGGCATTATGTCCACTAAGTAAATCTGTTCAGAATGAAATTCAGCATCAAATGTTCTCATCGGCTGTTGCTGCAAGTAAAACAAGATGTTATCCATTCTTCGGTCAGGCTAGTCGCTTGATTGTAATGATCCTGGAATGTGTTTATCGGATCCGCCTGTGAACTTTCTAGGCACTCCTTGGAGTAGCGCCCAAACTTAAACAAATAAAAGTGCGCCATTTTGCCACCCGTATTCAGACGAGCAGATGAGACAAACACTGGTAGTAATAGACTTGCTAACTTGCTTTCATACTCTTTACGCAACTGAAACCTTGAAAACATATAACCTGTTGAATTGAGACAATATAAACAGAAGCAACAGTAGTCTAACTGTACATTTTGGATCCCAGAGGGAAGTTCATGAGCTAGCTTCTAGACGACTGCATCTAACGACTAAACTTCTACATGAGACAACAGGAAATAAACCCACATTATTTTATCGACCTAAAAAGCTTTAAGAAAGCATATCTCATAATGCGTAGGCTCAAAACGTATTACTGTTTCGGATAGATTGATCTCACTGAGTTCTGCATGAATTGTAACCAATTTTATAGTTACGACATACCTGAAACAAATATCTTGTTGCGTTTTTGAGATGAATGGGGATTTTTTAAAATTTAGAAGTAGTATTCATCATGAACTGACATCAGTTGGAGAACCACTGGACAGCTGTTTCGTCCCAGTATAGAACTGCTCAGCAGTACTCACACACGACCCGGCTACAGATCGAACCCATGACCTTCAGGTTTCACGGCGAACACGTTAAGCATTCAGCCATTAGGTCGGTTTTCAGTGGTTCACAATTTTCAACTCCTGTTCCCTAACTGATATCAGTCCATCATGAATACTACTTCTAAATTGAAAAAAATCCTCATTAATCTCAAAAATACATTACTGTATAGTGCTCATAAGTGACTTGCTTCCAGATGGATATCACGAAGCTCCAATGAGAAGCCACGACCTGTGGGGTGAACCACTCGAAAGTGAAGTTGATGCTAATTGAACACCTTGGTGATAGTCGCGCTACCACTGGAAACCGATTGAGTGGCTGAATGGTTAACATGTTCGCTGTGAAACCTGAAGGTCCTGAGATAGATCCCTAGCCACGTCTTGTGTGCGTACTGCAGAGGAGTTCCATACTGGGACGAAACAGCTGTCCAGTGCTCCCAGACCTTCAGTGGTTCTCCAACTGATGTCAATTCATGATGAGTACTACTTCTGAATTAATTTATTCATTTCACATGTTTACACTATTCTGTAATTTTTATTAGATCAAGACATTTTGGGATGGAATTGAACATAGTCGAGAATGGAGATCACGAATTGAAACTGGTGCTACACACTATCCATGTGAACATTTGATTACAAGTTTAACTGCATGAATTGAATAAAGAAAGGCAAGTCCAAAATCAAACTGGTGAAAAGTCGAAAAATAGATTGAAAGTAGTACTTATGATGTTTGTTTAGAACAAATATTTTCATGACGGTTTGTTATACTACTGAATTATTTGTGATAAGTTAAAAATTTGGTTTTCTCCTTCCTGAATATATATATCACAATAATGTTGGAATTTACTTAAAAATATACATTTGAAATATACACAACAATATTTTGAAATAATCAGGAATTGGATGGTTATGATGGGAAATCATGAATTTGGCTTTCATTAATGTGATGTGCTTAGAAGCTATGAAGAAACTAGTGTCCTTTATCCTTTGAAGATGTTTCTAACTTTTGAATACTCGTCAATAGGAAGTAGTTAAGACTAGATTTGTAAGTTTTTAATTGTTGACAGAAATACTAATATATATATCGGTTACTGATCTATAAATCATGATTGTTAATGCTTGTTCATTCATTTCAGTTGATCTTAACTGAAATGAAATTGATTGAAAAAGGGACTTAACTTCAACATGATAGTAGGTCATCTAAAACACAAAGATGTCATATCTAGCAAAGAATTGGTATTTAGCACAATAGATGAAGTAACTACTGAACAGGTTAGAGCATAGTGGATATTAACACTGAAAAAAATAAAAGAATAGGCAATGAAACTTTAAGAAAACTTGAAAATTCAGCTTTGAATAATCCACGAAATGATAACAGTAGAGTAATGGTCAGGTCTGATAAAAGCAATGCAACAGTAGTTATGAATAAATTGGATTACTTCAACAACATTGACGAACATATCAAAACAGGACCATATAAAGAAATCAAGATACCTTTTTAATAATAATAATACTAATAATAATAATAATAATTCACTTTATTCCAAACAATTTGTGGTACAATTTGGAATTCTCAGCATGACATATTGCAAACAACAACAAGAACAACAACAAAATATATCTGTATATACGTACTACTTTGCAGCCTTTCGAATTGTTTTATTATAAAAATTTATGTGAAGAATATTAAAAACGAGAAAACGAGTTGAATTATTGTAATGGGATTTTTAACTGTCACAAACTTGATGTGTGATTTCTGTTCTAACAACTTTTTCCTCACAAAATATACGTGCAAGGTAAGGTACAGTCGAGTTCTTATTACTTAGTTGTACGAGCATACAGTCTTATGTAGTTTCTCCTTGTCCTCCCTGTGAGGAGATACATGGAGAGAGCTGTAAATGAAGTGGATGCTCACTGTCAGTTAAAATTTCTGTAGCTAGTAGCTTGCAGGAATTTATATGTCGATCAACTACAGTGTTAATCAGTTGAGCCAGAGACACACCACTCACCCTGCTGACGGTCTTCAAAGCCCTACGCAACATAACATAGTCCTTTTTAAGAAGACCAGCAAAGATTAATAGGGAACAACAGAAAGGAGGAATAGGTAAAATGCAAGAATTAATAAATTGTAAAAGAAGCAGTTGAGTTATACCAGAAAGCCTCAATTTCTTTAAGTAATAAGTTAAACGAAAGATTTTTTACAAGTCAATAAAATATGGGACGACTAACAAAGGTCAGAAGTAAAACTCAATCCAAGATAGTTCACACTCGATTTACTTTCTGCAGAAATACCATTGATGCAGCAGGCGTCATGAGATTTAAGCAGCTCACACAAGTCTTGTTTACGCCTGAGGCTAAAATTAACCGTCTGACATTTAGAGGGGTTTAGTTTGAGACCATTTGAGAGAGACCATTTACCAACTTCAGACAAGAATTCATTTAATTTTGAGCAATCCAAAGAAGAGTTTACTGGAATAGAAATCGTCAGGTCGTCAGCATACTTGATAAAATTAGTTTCAACAGAATAAGGCAAATCGTGCAAAAAAGGGAAAAAAGAAAAGGAGAAAGTACAGCACCTTGAGGCACACCAGCTTCAGTAAGCAATGAAGTGGAGCGCATCCCTTTATGAATAGTGTACTGTTTCCTTTCAGAAAAATAAGAATGCAGCCATTTTGTAACCCATGGATCAGTGTGAGCTATGGCAAGCTTATTTAACAAAAGTGGTCTAGGAACAGAGTCAAAGGCTGATGAGTAATCCAAAAAGGCACAACGGACATACTTAACACCTTTGTCGAGACTAGAAACAATATTATGATGCAAGACAGTAGCTGCATCTAAAGTACTCCTCCGGTGTTTGTAAGCAAACTGTTTTGGATCTCTGAAGGCCATCAATGAAGGCTCAATCACAAGCAGAAGTAATTTCTCCATTGTCTTCAGAAAAGGGGAAGTTATAGCGATGGGTCGAAAAGTAACATCTGATCCAGAAGATGGCTTAGGCACAGGTACAATTTTTATCTGCTTCCAAGCAGTGGGTATTATGTTTTTAGAAAACGATACATTGAAGATATCTGTAAGTGGATGACACAAAATATCTGCACATTTTCTAAATATGATACTAGAAACACCATCAGGACCTAAGCTTTGGGAGGGATTCAAAGACTTTAGACATTTAAATACATCATTTGTATTGAAACCTGGAAAGCAGCTATCCACTTGATTTTGCACATTAGGAAGGGTGAAATTAGCTTGCCGACGTATAAATGACTTGTTTAACACGCAGACATCCGAACGAGTTTGTGTTGTCATCTGTTTTTTACCAGTAAGCTCTTTAAATAATTTCCATATATTGGAAGAGTTCTTACACGATAAGAACTTCTTGTTGTATATAGTATTCAGACGTTGTATTTCAGACTTAATTAGGCAGTTAAGCCTTTTAACGCCAGGGTGATCTCTCTCCTTATACAACCTTTCCTTTTCTCTCCGAAGCCTCTTGAGATGAGGAGAGGAAAGTCTGTCAAATCTCATGTAAATTGTTTCAGTAGGGCAGCAGATATCGAGACAGAATCTGAGATAGCTTGTGATATTGGTAATAGTGTTGTCTAAAACTTCATCAGCAAATATATTCCAGTCCGTTTCTATAAGCATGCTTCTCAAACGTAATATATTTTCTTGTGAATAGCATCTGTATTGAACTTTCCTTGAAAGGTATGCAAAAGCTTTCTTGTATAATTTTCCGTACACTTTAGGCAAAACACGAACGATACAGTGGTCGGAATTAAGCAGTGGAGCCCGTTTACGGGCTTCATATATGCCAGGTTCATTTGTAAATGCAAAGTCTAAGGTGTTGTCAAGACGAGTGGAAAAGTTAACCATATTTTTATGACCCAATGATAATCGAAAACTGTAGTCACATGAGTTAAAATCACCACAGACAATAGACAAGGAGTTTCCCAGAACCGGAGCAGCAAATTCAGTGAATTTATCAGCAAAAGTTGACAAATCTGAGAAACTGCAGTCAGGTGTGACATACATGTTTGCTATGTACATATGTTTGTATTTGCTCAAATGTTCCGGACGATATTTGATGGTAATGCACTCAATTTTTTCGTTAGAGAAGCAGAAGCATATATAGTTGGAGGACGACCAGTTAGTACTAATAAATGTTGCTACGTCACCACCACATTTCTTCTTCGAAAAGCTTCGATCTTGTCGAAATAATTTGAAACCATCTAAGCAGACTAAGTCATCATCATACAGATTATGAAGCCATGTTTCCTGCAGCATTATTACAACTGTGTTTCGATAAACATTTGTGGACAAGAGTGACTGAAGGTAATCAACTTTATTCGGCAACGACCTGCAGTTTGTGCTAAGTATTTCCAGAATAGTCATTTGATCTATGGTCATACGCTTCAGAGCTCATTGTCATCCACCGTGGTGCTTCTTCTTAGATTTCCTATCAACTTGTGAAGCGATAGGTTGTAATGATTTTAAAAACGCGCGAGAATATACAATACGATTGGTTGACATAATTGAACGATTAAAACAATATAGAAATAAGAAATTTGATGCAATATACTGGATGATAGAAAACGGTAGCCCAGAGTTCAAGCAGGCCGCCACTTTAGATGCGATCATGAATAAAATTAGGAAGTCTACAGCTGATCTGATACGCCGGCTACAGCCATTTCTAGATGAGTCTAACTGGTTTAATTTAATCCCCAAAATTAAAAATCCTAGCGGAAATTATAGTACTAATAAGGTTAATAAACCAGGTTGTCCCATTAGACCCACAGTTGACTTCGAAAATATCCCAACATATGAACTAGCATGGTACTTAGCATCAACATTATGCCCTGTTAGGAACCGTTCAAATTCCAGACCAGTAAACTCTTACGAGTTAAAACTTAAGCTTAATGACCCACGCTTTGAAGACGATAAAAAAATGGTTACTTTCGTCGTAACAAGTTGCTTTGCTAAAATGCCAATCAATATGGCACTTGAGGCAATCAGAATGGAATTAAATGTTGACTCAGAACTTAATCGAAGAACTAAGATATCGATCGATGAGATCATATTAGACTCAGAGTTGTGCCTAAACTCCACAGTCTTCAAGTTTCAGGACAAAATTTACAGAAAAATAGAAGGAGTACTAGATGGATCCCCAATCACAGCCGATGAATTTATGGATAGCTGGGAAGAAATGGTTTTAAAACCGTTTAATAGTGCACCTAAAATATACTGGTAATATGTGGATGAGAAATCCACTGTCCCGAAATCGACAATCTCCTCACACATACAAACTCATCAGTAGACGCAATCGAATTCACTTACAAGGTAGAAAATTAACATGTTGGATTGCAGAATCAAATGAAGGACAGATGGTGGTTTGGATACTACCGTCTACTGAAGACCAACACACTCCAACAAGTATCTAGACTTCATGTCATTTCATCCAATATCAGTCAGTGAAGGCAGGTTTAGTCAAATATCTGAATGATAGAGCTAGAAAACTGACTAGTCAATGCAACGACCTAAACAAGGAGCTGAAACACATGGAAGAAGTACTCACAGTTAATAATTATCCTCTACAGTTCATCAGGAAATTGGTACGAACACATGAGAAAGGAAATAATAAGGGTAAGATGAGTACGAAGAATAACGACAACATGAGTTGAAAGGAGGTGACAGGCTCTGTTGTGTTACCCTATAAGGAGGGTAGATCAGGCACTTCATGTAGGATTCTCAATA